AAAACATGGTGCTTAATAAAGCAACCAGTGATGTCCTGATATATGCGCATCTGAAGTCAAGGCTTCATGTTACCCAGGAGAGGTGACTCATTAGGTTGGTAAAGCTTTTGCAGGAGTTATTTTTAAATGAACTCCTCAGCATGCATTGCCACCTCAAAAAGAGCAGGGTTTTAAGGGGATGGACTGAAAAAAAAAAAGGCTTAACTTAGATGCCTGAGAGAATTGTTTGAAAAATATAGGACATTTGCTCAGGCTAGAGTGTCCCAAGGAAAAGGATATTGGAACTGGACAAACAGCACAGGGCTTCTAAACAGGTGGGAGAGAGAAATTGAGGGCAAATTTGAAGGGGTGCCTGAATTTTATCTCAGCAGACCATGCTCCGTGTTACAATGCTTTAAATTTTTATTTCGATTAAATGTGTCTAACATTCAAGTAACAAACCCTGTGTTCGATTCCCACACTGGAGTACTACACAGCTGTAAAAACAAAGGAGGACTATAGGGAACAATCCTGGGAATACACAGTTAGTGAAAACAAAGCAAGGTAGAAAGAAGTATCTATAGAGGGCTCCTGTTTTATCTAAGGAGGGAGTATTCAATCTATGAAAGCATTTGCTTATTTTTTTTAAGTGAAAGAATAAACCATAAAACTTGGTTTTTTAAAAAAGATCATCAGGGATGCCTGGGTGGCTCAGTCGGTTAAGCATCTGCCTTTCACTCAAGTCATGATCCTGGAGTCCCGGGATCGAGTCCTGCATAGGGTTCCTGCTCAGCAGGGAGCCTATTTCTCCCTCTGCCTGCCACTCCCTGGGCTTGTGCTCACTCTATCTCTCTCTCTGTCAAATGCATATATAAAATCTTAAAAAAAAATAAAAATAAAAAAGATCATCTATGTGGGAGAGGAGGAACAGGTGGAGAGGCCTGGGGTAGAAGAGACACTCCTCTGAATGCAGCTGGGATTGTAGATTTGACTTTAGACACTTGTAAATATTTTACATAATTATATATATGTATTTTTAAAAGATTTTATTTATTTATTTGACAGAGAGAGACACAGCGAGAGAGGGAACACAAGCAGGGGGGAATGGGAGAGGGAGAAGCAGGCTTCCCGCCGAGCCGGGAGCCCGATGTGGGGCTTGATCCCAGGATGCTGGGATCATGACCTGAGCCGAAGGCAGACGCTTAACGACTAAGCCACCCAGGTGTCCCAAGATACCTCTATAGAAATACTCCAACTAATAAATGAAGGAGTGATAGAACTGGAATACCACCATCTGCAATGCCTCATGAATTAACAGACCTAGACACACAGCAAAAAGAGAGCCAGACATTGTTCCCTAATGAGAAATATACAATACCATCCATGAAGGGTTCCTGCCCCTCCAAATCAAACATGGATCTAATCACAGGAAATATAGGGGACAGAGGAACATGTTAAAGACATCATGATAATGTGGTCAGAAAAATCCAGATTGGAAAATGCTCAAGGACAGATGACTCAGCACCTTCAATGAATAAATAGAAAAGGGAAAAAGTAATGAAAGGAAACCTATGGATTGGAGGAAACACATTAATCAATTGTAATGTGTAGACCTTAGTTAGATCCCCATTTGAGCAAATTCAAGGAAAAAAATTCATGAGACAATTCAGAAAATTTAAATACTGACTGGATTTTAGATGATATTAGGGAATCAATAATAATTTCTTAAGTGTGATAAAGGTATTGTTGGGTATATTTTCAGAGTCCTTATATTTTAGAGAACATACCAAAATTCATGGAAGCAGTGAGGTGATGTCAGGTTTGGTTTCTCAACAATCCAGAGTAGGATGTAGGTGTGAGTGTAGATCATAAAGATCAGACACAAATTGATAATTGTAGAAACATAGTGATGTATTCATGATATTATTCTTTCTACTTTTTAATATTTGATTTTCCTTAATAAAAAGGCTTTTTAAAGTGCACTATATGGGGTGCCTGGGTGGCTCAGTTGGTTAAGCATCTGCCTTGGGCTCAGGTCATGATCCCAGGGTCCTGAGATTGAGTCTTGCATCGGGCTCCCTGCTCAGTGGAGAGCCTGCTTCTCCCTCTGCCTCTGCCTGCCATTCCCCCTGCTTGTGCTCTCTCTCCCTCTACCAAATAAATAAAATCTTAAAAAATATATAAAATATAAACCACCCTTTTTTAAAAAAAAGATTTTATTTATTTATTTATTTGGGGGTGGGGGAAAGAGGAAGAGGGAGAGAGAATCTCCAGGAGACTCTGTGCTGAGTGCAGAGCCCCACTCAGGGCTCCATCTCACGACCCTGAGATCACAACCTGAGCCAAAATCAAGAGCCGGATGCTTAACTGACTGAACCACCCAGGCACCCCTGTACCAGCCTTCTAATATGAGTCAAGCAAAGCCAGGAGTGGGGGATGCCTCTTTGCATGTACCTAGAAAGAGCAATGGATCAAAAATCAGGATATCAGGGTATCCGGTGGCTCAGTCAGTTAATCAGCTGCCTTTGGCTCGGGTCATGATCACAGAGTCTTGGGATTGAGCCCCACATCTGGCTCCCTACTCAGGAGGGAGCCTGCTTCTCCCTCTGTCCCTCCCCCTGTTCATGCTCTTTCTCTCTTTCAAATAAATGAATAAGATTTTTTAAAAAATCAGGAAATCATAGACTTCAGGGAGACTCTATTCCTTCTTCCAAGGCTTGAACCACCTCTACAGTGCCCCTAAAGGTTGTTGCCCACTTTCTGCAGGGTTACCCTCAACCCATTCCCCTGTGACAGCTTTCAAAGTTCTTTCTTATATATTTTATTCATTCACTCATTTATCTATCTATTTCCTTATTCTCTATTTCCTTATTTTCTTATATTGAGCAGAAATCTGTCTCCCTATATCTTTCTTTTACCCATAAATTCTAGGCCTAGACCTTCCTCACACAACAGTCCCTCAAATATTTGAAAACAAGCATTCACCTGTTCCTCTCACCCTAACCCCATACGCAGGGCCTTTGAGCTCCAGCCCTAATTCTGTCCACTGTTCCACAGACCCATGACTTTGGTTCCCTGCCATCCTGGCGGCTCTGCCCTGATCTCAGAACACTTTGACTTATAAGTTATGTGTTCTGGAATGAAGTGATCTGGGTGTGGCTTGACAATTGGAGAGAACAACAGGGCTATCGCCTCCCTTGTTCCAGTTACGCATTTCTTGTTACTATGGGCTGGAGCCTGGGTACACAAAGTTCCAAGGGCTGAGTGTTAAATTTTCAAGATTTCTTTGAGCCAATTGTTAAACGCAGCCATAATTAAAAGTTAAATTACATAAACTTACAATAACATATATTTTATTAAAAATAAAGGTAATAAATTTAAGAAACAAAACAGATGAACAGGGATGCCTGGGTGGCTCATTTGGTTAAGCGTCTGCCTTTGGCTCAGGTCATGATCCCAGAGTCCTAGGATCGAGTCCCACATAGGGCTCCCTGCTCAGTAGGGAGTCCGCTTCTCCCTCTGCTTGTGGCTCTCTCTCTCTCTCTGACAAATAAATAAATAAAATCTTTAAAAAAGTTAAAAAAAACCCCAGATGAACATAGGGAGAGGGAAGGAAAGATAAAATAAGATAAAAACCGAGAGAGAGAGGCAAACCATAAGAGACTCTTAACTGCAGAGAACAAACTGAGGGTTGCTGGAGGGGATGGGGGTGGGGGGATGGGCTAAATGGGTGATAGGCATGAAGGAGGGTGCTTGTTGTGTTGAGCACTGGGTATTATACGTAAGTGATGAATCACTAAATTCCATTCCTGAAACCAATACTACCTTATATGTTAACTAACTTGAATTTAAATAAAAACTTTGAAAAACAAAAGGAAAAAACCAACAAAGGTAATACTTAAAACTCATCACTTCCTAATTATTTTATTACATATTACTATTATCTCTTCTCTTGAGCTTATTTACATTTATTGTATCTGTGTGGTGAGAATACTATATAATGGTGTGCTACTGTGAATCTCTTCCAAACTGTGTTCGGTGACATCATGTTGGTAGCTTGAAATTGACCAGGATGGAAGTAATTACATGAGAGAAATTGGCAAGTGCTATAAATCAAGGTGCTTTTTTCCTCCCGAGAGCCAGTTATTTCACATTTACCACCACACCACTGGCTATAGTAAAATCTTAGGTTTTTTTGGCAACCACATTACATTTCTGACTCAAATTGGGCTAAAGCTCTTAGCTACTGCTAAATCAAGTATAAGCCATTCCTACTGTTAAAATTAGTTCCTTAAGACCTTATATTAATTGCTTTTAAATGCATCCTTGTAAATTCAAGTCACTGTTTCTCATTCTGTTCACCATACCTCTAACTTCAGGTTACCTATAAATTTGATGAGCACACCTTCTGTATATTTATTATGAAAGCATTTATGAGGGGCAGATGAAGGACACAGCCCTAGGACGCATCATTATATACTTCCTTGTAGTTTGGTATGAATTCGTTAGTCAGCACCTTGTGTATATAATCAACTGGTTACTAATTCATTCAGTATGCTAGAGTCCAACAATTCATATTTCTCCCTCTTTTTCAAAAGAATATCATGAAAAACCTCATTAAATATCTAACCAATGACAAAATACTCTCTAGGTATGGGCTTTCCCAGAACTACAGGGCTCATAACCTTGTCAAGGAAGGAAGTATATAAACCAGTCCTGGCTTATCCTTAGTGAATTCATTCTGAGTCTTAATCATTCCTTCGTCATTAATGCCTGAAACTGTTCCTCTAGTAACCCCTTCTAGAGTCTTGCCCGAGATTGAAGTTGTAGACAACTGTCTACAATTTATCTGGCTCTGGCTTCTCTTTCTGAAAATTAGAATATTCCACTGTCTCCAGTCTTCTGATAGCTCTCGAATTCTCCATGATGCCCAAAAGATCACTGACAATTGTTTGGTGATCCCATAACTTTTTCTCAGGGCCCTAAGGCATTATTTCTCAAAGTTGGGGGCTGGAACTCACTTAGAGCAGCTCTGGGCTTCCACATTCTATTACTCCATCTTGGGCTTTCATCTTCCCTTACCAAGGTTCATTCCATTTTTCTATTCCTCTTCACTGTACTCATTCCATGTGGAGAAGAAATGTCCTTGCCCTGAAAGTCAGAAACAAAAGAAAATGGAAGAGCTCTGTTTTTTCTATATTCCCCCATTGACAGTGGGCCCCAAGCTGCAGGTTCTGTCCTTTACTTGAAGTTATTCCTCAAACTTTCCTAAAAGGAATGGAAGACCCAAATGACAGCCATAACAGAAAACTGTTGTTTTGGAATAACTTGAGCTTATTTGCAGCTTTAGTCTTTCTGATACTTACAAATGTGTCCCATGGATATCCCAGCACAGGTAATGGTAATTTGACAGTAGGATAGATATTTGGTAAGAGATTCATGACCTTTCAGAAGTTGTGAAATCACATCCTTGTTTGAATTTGCAATAAGCTCCCCGTCTCCTAAAGTGCAGCATTGTGTATATTAGTCTTGAAATTTTTAATTAACTGGGTCTGGAGAATTTTTCATCTTTAAGTTTTTTGACAAAAAAACACAAAAAATGAAGATAGCTCTGACACCACAAAATCACAATTAAGGGGACCTGCAAATAGGGAAGAACTCAGTATATTTAGGTGCTTTTCTTCTTTAATTTTACGGAGCTGATCTTTAACATAAAATAACCTCTTAATATAATCAACTCTTGTTATACCACATTCTTTTACATGGAACTCTAAGTTGCCCTTATGCATAGTTCCAAAAAATGTTAACAATGTTTATGGGTTTTAACCCAGAGGCCCTGAACTAAGAATGTGAAACCTAGGTTTTCCACTTTGTTCTGATACTCATCAACTCTGCAATCTTGGCAGAAAAGTCTCCTTTTCTTTTCTTTTTCACATCTAATTATTGTTGTAAGTCCCTTTCAGATCTAAGAGAAATATCCAGCTATCTTACCTGTGGGTTCTTGGCCACCACCATCTACTCTCTACACTTGACATGAGGGTGCAGGTTTTGTATGGAGGGGTGGGTTAGAAAGATTTGAGTTGAGAGTCTTGGTAGGGAGAGGAGGAGGAGGAGGGGGAGGAGGAAGACAGCCCATATCATTCCTCCTAGGTTTTTCACAAGAGGTAATTTCAAAACAAAGTAAATCAACCTATCAAAACAAGATAATGACAAGGGAGAAAGTAAAAGTTTTTGGCCAAATTCATCTCACAATCCTTCTTTCCTGCCCCCACAAAGCTATCTGAACTGAGATCTTGCTAGTGCACCTTCATTTCCAGTAAACATCACTCACTTAGAACAAAAACGGGAAGCTCCCACGTGTAGCCACTGGAAACATTCCCAGATGCAGGAAGAGGTTTGTATGACATCATCCAGAGAGTTATGCAGTAGGAAGGTCTCGGATTAGAATAGCTCACCGAAGAGTTCTTTTCAGTCAGAACTTTTATCCAGTATTTAGAAGTCCCAAGTTTCTTGGAAAATGCATTTATTGATATTGATTTGACCCATGTGTAGAAATGTATATAGCTTTCTGGAAATTGCTCAAATGCTAAGGAAAATGTTATTTATGTGTCTACATATTTAAAGACCAGGAAAAAAATAGGCAAATATTATTGTCCCTCTGTATATAAAAAAAGTTTTGTTCATGCTTTTAAAAATAAATTGGTTATTTTAGTAAAAATGATTCGTGTTCATTGCGAAATATTGAAACAAATCAGAAAAGAACAAAGAAGATAATAAAAATTACCTGAAGACTCATGATCTAGAAATAAACACTGGTAGATTTTTGGTAAAGTCTCTCCAGACATTTTCTTTTTTTTTTTTTATAATATTTTTTTTTTTTTAAAGATTTTATTTATTTATTTGAGACAGAGAGAATGAGAGACAGAGAGCATGAGAGGGAGGAGGGTCAGAGGGAGAAGCAGACTCCCTGCCAAGCAGAGAGCCCGATGCGGGACTCGATCCCGGGACTCTAGGATCATGACCTGAGCCGAAGGCAGTCGCTTAACCAACTGAGCCACCCAGGCGCCCTCTCCAGACATTTTCCTGTGTATATATATGCTTAATTTTACACGAGTGGCATGTTCTTTATTTCCTGCATTATATTCTTCCTTCCTCCTCAATAATGTCATTAACATCTTTATGTGTCACTAAATACAGCTATGTTGCATGACTTTTCAAGGACTCCTTAGTTTTCCACTGTATTTTGTTTGTTCCATATACTTAGAGAATTCCATATGGATGAAAATATAGGTTGTTGAGAAGGAACTTTTTTAAGCTTCAAAAGAACTGTTATGTAAAAAATATAAAGTTATGTAAAGTAACACATTTGCACAAGAATCTGGTTTGGTTGTTCCTACTGCAAAAGCTTGAAATAGTGTATGGAAACAGTGAGTGTCAGACCTATAAGATATAACTTTATTATTACTGAGCCATTAATAAAATTAAACATTTTAAAAAGCAAGGATGAATTACAAAGTAAAACTCAATAGTTTTGACAACATAGATATGTAAAATAGCATAAAGAAAATTTAAAAATAAGTAACAACCTGAAAATAGCTATAGCAAATATGACAAAGGGTTAACATACTAATATATAAAGAGCTCATATAAACCAGTAAGGACAGTAACTCACAATAAAAAAATATGCAACTAATGATTTACAAATAATACTTAAAATGGCTTAAAAGTAAATTATAGCTCAACACAAACCAAGTATCTTAAAAATATTAATAATCTTTACTTAGTAATTCTACTTCTAGAACTCTCTCCTAAATAATAATTTGAAATGCAGATAAAACCTTTACACATAAAGCAGCAGATCACATTATTTATAACAAAAATTGTAAATGGCTTAAATGTCCAACAATGAAAGAATGATTAAGCAAAGTATGATGCAACCGTAAGTTAGAATACTCTGAAGACATTTAAAACTATGTTTATAAAGAAACTTAAATAACTAGTTACTAAGACATATAATATTGAGTGAGAAAAAGAGGGCACAAAATTTTATGTATAGTCATTTCAGCTACATATACAAAATAGCCTGGAAAAAAGAAAAAAACACCAAAATATTAACAAGTACCTATCAGAGGTGGGAGTATGGGTGATTTAAAATTTTTATATACTTTTCTTATTTTCTAAATTTTCTACAAGGATCATATATTCTCTTCTAGCCAGAAGAATAATTTTTTAAAAAATACTGAAACTAATACATATTTAATGAATTTAAATATGAATTCAAACACAATAAAACATAACATTTAAAAATCTGAATCCATACAGTATTAAAAATCTTAATCATTTTTTACCATTTAGTAAAAATTGCCTGGATTTTCACATCTCTGTCATTCAGTAGGTGTGAGACTTTGCTACAGACTGTTTGGTTCCCCCCCAAATTCATACATTGAAATCCTAACTTGCAATGTGATGGTATTTGGAGGTGGGGTCTTTGGGAGGTGATTAGGTCATGAGGGTGGAGCCCTGGGGAATGGGATTAGTGCCTTATTTATATATTTTTAAAGATTATTTATTTATTTATTTTTGAGAGAGAGAAAGAGAGCAGGAGCAAGGGGAGGGGAAAGGGGAGGGGGGGTACCGGGAGGGGAAGGAAGTGGGGCAGAGGGAGAAGCAAACTCCCCACTGAGCAGGGAGCTCAATGCGGGGCTCAATCCCAGCACCCTGGGATCATGACCTGAGCCCAAGGCAGATGCTAAACCCACTGAGCCACCCTGGCGCCTGGCTTAGTGCCTTATAAATGAGACCTCTCAGAGCTACTGCTCTAATCTGCCATACGAGGACACAATGAGAAGTTTGTAGCCCAGAAGAAAACTCTCACTTGACCATGCTGGCACCCTGGTCTCTGACTTCTGGCCTCCGGGACTGTGAGATACAAATTTATGTTGTTTATAATGCACCCAGACTCTGGCATTTTGTTATAGTAGCCTGAACGGACTAAGATTTTGAACAAGTGAACTAATTACCAATTCTGGGCCTCCCACAATTTCAAAGTCTCCTTCAATTCTCATTAATCTATAACAAACCACATCTGTTAAGTTTAATTTTTTTTTTTTAAGATTTTATTTATTTATTTGACAGAGAGAGAGATAGCGAGAGAGGGAACACAAGCAGGGGGAGTGGGAGAGGGAGAAGCAGGCTTCCTGCTGAGGAGGAAGCCCGATGCGGGCTCGATCCCAGGACCCTGGGATCATGACCTGAGCCAAAGGCAGACGCTTAACGACTGAGCCACCCAGGTGCCCCAAGTTTAATTTTTAATTTTGAGGTGAAATTACTTTATTCATTTGTTTCTGAACCTACTATTTTGAAACTCAATGCATCTTAACATTAATGTATTATTTACATATTATCACATTTTCAAAATGAATATGAGGCAGCAGATGTTATTACTTGGTAATTAACTTTGTTTCGTTTTTTAAAAAACTGCAGTAAAATATGCAAACATAAAATTTACCATTTTAACCATTTTAAAGTTCAGCGGCGTTGAGTGCATTCACATGGTTGGATGATGATCACCACCATCAACCTCCAGAACTTTTTCATCTTCCCAAACTGAAACTCCCATTAAACAATAGCTCCCCATTCCCCCTCTCCTCCCAGCTCCTGGTAACCACCATTCTACTTTCTATCCCTATGGTGGACTATTCTAAATACCTCAACTTTATTCACTTTTAAGCCCTAAATAAATCTCTGCTCTATCTTGGTTGAAAACACTGCTAGTTTCAAAGAGTCAACTTAAAAAAAATCCCAGTGTTTTTTAAAAATGGAGGTAATATTTACATACAATAAAATGCATACAGATACTTAAAAATATACATATTTTTATCTATCTTATGTGAATGTATATGTGACAGTGTATTGTCGGCATGACTATGAAGTCATGAGACTTGTGTGCCATTTTATTTTGAAGTCACATTATACACCTAAACAAAATAGCAGACAAATCTATATGCTGTGATTCCACTATGTAAAAGGAATTCCTTTGTATGGAGAAAGACTGGAAAGGAAGACCATGGAAAATAAAAATAGTTTATTTTTAGGGTGGTACACTTTTTGAAATGCGATTTAAAAAAACTATCAACTGTGTTATCAAGTTG